AGTAAGACTCTTAATTAAACCCGGTAAGAGAGGTTATAGGTCCTTAGAGGTGAAAGTCCTGGGTCATAACCCCAGCATGGCATAGCTTTTAGCATGTCACATTGGCAGTGATATCAATAACTGGGTCAAAACCAGCAATAAAAATGAATACCTTGTGCATCACTGAGCCGCGAGGAGAACATTATGTCTTTGGAGACCTCTCTGTAACTGGTCATACCTGTTCTAAAATGAGTACATTCCCTGGGAAGCATTAAACGAAACAGACCTTACCCTAGTGTTTAATCGTAATAAATGACAGGCTGGGTTAATTATTACTTGGTAATTCTTTATTTAAACTTTGTACTAAGATTCATATGCAGTAGATTCTTTCATGCAGAACATAAAAGATATAATTGTGTACAGAGTGGGTGTGGTGTTTCCCTAGGTCAAGTAAGGAATAATTTGTTTATATGCTTGCCCTATATGAAAAAAATGTGTGCTGGGCTTGTACAACACAGTTTATAAGGTAGTTTAAATTAGTGAGGAAAATAAATGCCCCAAATGGTATTTGGGGGGGCCGCTCTTCTCAACCCTGTGTGTAAGGGAGCAAGAGACAATTGCTTGCTTAGCACTGCAGTAGCTTCAAACCCTTTAGGTGCAGTCTAGAGCCTAAGGCTTCTCCCCTCCACACACCAGGACTCCTGACTTAGCTGGCCGTCTTGCACAGCTTGTTAAAAATGTCAGGGGCCAGAATTTGCTTCCAGGATGTCCATTAGCTGTCCATAGCAAGGATGGAAGAAATAGAGTTCCGTATAAACCATTTTTAGTCAGATAACCTCAACTGTCTTTCTGCCTTGAAGAATGCTGTCRTAGACGGTACCTCACAGGGTCACCTTTTTGAACCAAACTGTATGTGCAGTTTTTAATATCTATTTCACATATTTTGTTGTGCAACAGACACTGGACGTGTGGAATGATGTATGTGCATAGAAATTCGGAAGTCACTTTGGCAAGCTCTTCTTATCATTATTAGAAAATAACGCAGTGTCCTGAGAAAGTGGAATGCTAATAAGTTCCCAAAGGTCTGGCTTATTTGTCTGTTTGGATTGTAATTGGGTTTTTAAGGGAAACAATAGGATCTATTTGAGACTGATAGAACTAGAGGTCAACATTGTATTTCACCTCCACCCAGGCATTAAGGGCTTCTTTTTCCAGAAAACACTGCTCCTCACAGCTGCTATCTTCTCAAACTTTTTATTTTATTGCTTGTTTTTTATTTATTTATTTTTCTTTCTATGGAACTCTTATGGATTTTTGAGGTGGAAGTCCATGCCCTGTTTTTCTGACTGTCACCTACCTCAAACTGTTAATCTGGTGCTATCTTCCTTGGTACTTGCTCTTGATTTCTTTAGAACAGCAAAAACCTCACTCCACCTGTGGGTGGATAGATGCATTTCAGGTCTGAAGGTTGACTAAAGTCAAGACCATCATCTCAGTCATGGCTGGATGATGTTTGTTAGTAATGTGGGGCCAATATATGTGAACAAGGGATGAACAAAGGCATAAAKGTCACGGCACTGACAGCTTGACTGGTTTGCAGATGGAGCAGGGGGGAAGAAGAGGAATTKCATTCATTCCAATGGACCAAGAATGACATGTTGTTGCTTCATTTGGTGCCTGCCTCTAGTAGGCATCCCTGTATGACTGTCCTGGGGATGAAGGGAGCCACACACAGCCTTCAAAGCTGCTAATCGGCAACTTTAATTAGCATTAGACTTACTAGTCCCCAAGGCAGCTTTCTTTATTAGTAGCACTCCTGTGCAAGTGTTTTGGGTTCATAGGCACCTACCCTGTTCTGGAGCTTGCTCTGTGCTGCTGATCTCCGGAGGGCCTGGGACACCTGATGATACTGCAGGGGAAATGCAAGCAATTGCAGGGGAAGGAACTTGTTCTTCTAGCTAGGGAAAGTGCATGGCACGATGCTGGCCTGCCACAGGGTGCTCATTGTTTCACAGTGAGGCCAGTGCTTTTTCTGCTATCAGTCATATTTAAAAGGTAGATGCTTTTCTAACTTTTTTCTTTTTTTTTTCCCCCTCAGATACTCTTGTTCCAAGTCCCTTATGCAGACTCTTCTGTTTTTTGTGCTTTCTGTATGCTCCCTAATATCCATCCTCTCCTAAGTCTACACCACATTTGAGTTTTTCCAATAGGTTTGCATTTTTTTTGATTATCTTTTATTCTCATACATATTCTTTTCCCTTTTCTCCAGCATTATGCTTATTTATTAACTTAATTTAGTCAGTCTCAACTGGGCATGCAGTCCTATTATGTTAGTCACCATCTACAAAGCATGGCAGAATGGAATTTTATCCCTTTTTCACAGATTAGGAAACTGTAGCTTTGGCGATTCAGCGTCTTGACCTAACCTAAGGAAGCTGTGGTATTTTTGAGATTTGAGTGCATTTCTTGCAAGTACCAGGAATAAAAGGCTATCTTCTTGCCTCCAGTTTTCTGCCTTTGCACACTCTCCATTTTCTTCTGTACTTATCCAGAGAAAAACCATTTATTCTGTATGGTTACTACTCTTTGGCCACTTTGCTGACTGGATGTCTTTCTACCCAAATTAGCGGCAAYGATCTCAGATTACAGGATGTTTCACCAATTTCAGAATGTCAGTGTTGCATAATACAAGTAAGAAAGCTAAACGGTGCACCCATCTTGAAGTAGCATTAGGCACACAGGTTAATTGCTCAGTTACTGTGGCGGGGGGTGGAAATTGAAATTATTTGGTGGTAGCTAACCAGTGACTATCAGCAGTGGCTTTAACTTGCTTGTTTAACTTAAGATAATGCATTCAGTGCTTGCTATGTATCAATCATGTACTTGATTGTTGTGCAAACAAAACTGGTCATTTTTGAAGAATACTTGCACATAAGCTGGTGCAGCAAGAAAAGGTTACTGCTACCTCCRTAAACTTCACTAATAGTTATAATTTCATTAAAGTTAAGAAAAAAGAAGGAAAGAAAAGGAGAATAAATGCTTTCCCTAAATTCCTCYCATGCTTCCCATTCCTCCCATCAAATAATCTTTTCATTTTTGTTCTCTTCTGTGCTAAATGATTTGAGTGAGGGGAGGTTCTTTGGATTCAGTGGTGGCACGTATAAGACCTACCTCCCTCGCAGAGTGAAAGGAGCACTGCTCTGCCACTGAGTTATCACCGTCTCTGACTCTCCCAACCTCAATTTCTCTTCTGAGAGCAAGGTGGAACTGCCCTCCATCTACAGGAGTGAAACTMAACGACCAATGCATCTAATGATCTGACTCTAAGCTTTTAACTGAGGATTCAATATTTGGTCAATATATATTAAAAAAAGGGCAATTTTAGGCTTTCTAAAATTAAATCTAGAAGATTTTCGATTAGGTTTTTGAAAACAGTTCTAACTCAGTTCTGCAAAATTCCCTCAGATTTTTTTTTAACCTGAGCTCGGTTGCGGACAAAAAAGGTCTCAGCCTAAGCCTCTAATATTAACTAAAGAGTAAATATCTGCATAAAGATCAATATCAAAATAAAGCAAGGCATGAATGACTCCTGAATGAATTTATTCCAAGAAAAACACCAACAACAAAAAAAAAGAGGCAAAACAAAATCTGTTAATGTTCACCCATTTGTTTAGATGAGAAGACTCCAACGATTTCAAGGACAATGTTACAGTGGTACAACTCCCTTGCCTCGTCCCATGACAGGAGACTTCTGGGGGAAAAAATAGGTTTTTCCTTTAGTTTCAGCTCATCTTAAGCACTCTCAGTTAAAATAAGGCAATGTTTAATGCAGTAAAATTATGCTCAGAAAAGAACAGTATACCATGTTACTATGCAGTCCTGAAATCACTCAGTCATTTGCATGCACGTCTGCATTTGAAGCAGGCCTGCAATCATTTCTGTCGGGTGACTGTGAAGATGCTGCCTCTGCAGCACAGGTTGCAGCGTCTCAAGCGCTGATGCAGCACAGCAGCACTTGCAGAAATATTATCTGCCAGTTGTTCGTGGCAGCTGCTGGCTGGCTGTAGTTAGTTGAGGTGCTTCATTACTAATGGCAACTGAAAGGGAGTTATGCTATATGAAAGCATGAGATTTCCATCTGTTATTGAGTCATACTAACTGCTGGCAGGGTGATTTTTTTTTTTTTTTTTTTTCAATACTAAGTGGTTGGAGAGCAACCTTTGGACATGTTCCTGCAGCAACACCTACTCTTCTAGGGAAAAGGATTATCGATGCAAATTACATGGGAGTGTTTATTAAAGGTTACTAATTTGAAAAATGAAGAATTTGCCAAGGTGAATGACTGGTAAAAGCATGTCATCTCTTTCAGGGTAAAGAGAATAAAAGTATCACTGAAAGCAAGAGTACAGAGGTTTTTATTAAAAGGAAGATTTGCAAGCTGTAACTGCTTATTTCCTTAAATTTGCTTTAAACTGCCTATTCCTAGCTTTAAGGACTGTTTTCAAGCAGATTAACTACTTCTATTACAACGACCTAATGCAGAGGGGCCTTGCTTTTTCCCTTATTTCCTTCCAGGACGGTGTGTGGTCACAAAAAGCCTCAGGTGGCCAAGCACTTAGGCCAAACCTAAGCACTTTCAGGAACCAGTCTTGATGCTCCTGAGAGCATCGGAATCAGGCTCCYGAAATGTACCCCTTCTCACAGCCTTCAGCTCTTCCTTCTGCCTGASGGTCTCCAACTCTCTCTTCCATGATAAAAGCTATGCTGATTGGTATTTCACTTTTTCCTGTAGAATAATTTTTATTTAAAAGAGTTTCAAGAATCTACTTATCAGTTAAATGGGGATTAGAATTCAAGTCTCTTGTCTCCCACATAAATGATCCACATGTGGGCTGCCTAGGAATTAAGCAGTGGCCGTTGCTCTCTCTTTCTGTGAATATTTTCAGAGCCTTCTCAAGGAGAAGGGAATACTCCCTATAAATAGGGAGTGACTTTTTTTTCACTTTTTCTTTTTTTTTAAGGGAAATGGGAGAAACTTCACTGAACCTCYACATTCTAAAAAGGTACCAAGTTTCATTATCCTGGATGAAACCACTAACTGCTCAAGCACCATATGAAGGATCCAGGACTACTCCTGAAGAAGTATAAGAGTAAACTTACATACTTTCAAAAGATGGTGCTTAGACATCCATCTATCTTTAGGAAAGAATCTTGGACTGAGATTTCTCAAGCAGGAGGAGGCTTCTCTCTGTTTAGTCATCTAATACCCCAATAGAGTTTAAGATTAAAGACCTACCCTTGCTCATGATGTTTGCTAGTGGCTGTTTATTCTACTTCACACCTAGCTTGTATTTTAAAACTTAAATCTTATGCTATTAAAATAAAAGCCTTTACAAGGAAGTTGATTACAAGCATCATGAACCTACCTCCTTTTTGGATGGGGTGTAGTACTTAAAAGATGTATAAGGAAGTATAAAAGCTTAGCCCAAAACCTTCATAGAACTTAAGAGGATCACCATGARTCAAAGACCTGATATTACTTCTCTGAACAGGAGTTAATTTTATCCAACAGGGAAATTCCACCTTTATCCTCCAATAACTCAAGCATGGATGTCATAATCTGGAAACGAGGGATGCTGAGGATCTTATCCTGATGTGCTCACTTTGGGCTGACAGGGCTCCATTAGTTGGTCCCAAGGGGCTGTTCAGGTCATGGAAGCCAGGACCCAAGGACACCTACTTCATCCCTGAGGAAATCTTGTACCTTCTGCCCTGCTACCATTCAACCTCCTCTCAGCCCCTGACGTGAGGTTTGCAGCTTRCATTGCTCTCTGTCCATGGGAAATTATCTCTGCACTAACTTCACAATATTTTAGTCCTGTTGGAAGTGTAAGCARTCTGGAATAGGGGATTTCCTCCAGAGTCATTAGCAATATTAAAAAATACATTTTCAGSGCACAGCTGAGCAGGCAGGGAAACACAACTCAGTTATTCTGATATTGCCCTGTCCTGGCAATGCTATTTTGGTGAACTCTGCTATTCTCCATCTATCTTTATTTCYTTGAGGACAAGTTCTTTTTCTTACCTGCTGAGTCTGATCCCTCTCACTTCCCCTGCACTGATACTTTCCTTAGAATAAAGAAAAAATTCTAAAAAAGATAATGAAAAAAATCATATGGTGCTTCTAAGGAAGAAAAATGTCTTGGTCAACTGCAGTAGTACTTCAGAATAGTAGTTTGAGGATTTTAATAAAATATCTATCAGGGAAGTATACTAACTGAATAAAATATTTTCTCCTTTATAAAAATAATAATTTCAACTTTCAGCAGTAACCATGCTGCTGTTCTTGAGACAGGCCATAAAGTTCTTGATCTCCCCATTAGCTTCTAAGAGCATTAAATTTGCATCTACGTCTTGCAGCTTATTGTGTGATAAGCTTCATCCTATAATGGGCAATCTTCTTTTGCCCTAGCTGCCATCTGCTGCCCCGGACCTAAGCCCGGGCAGCTACCACCATTTCTGCTGCAGGGTGGTATCAGCTGCTCCACAGCTATTCGTCTCCATCACCTTCTCAAAACTTCTCCTGAACCCTGTACAACCACTTTTCTGATATGCACTTCCTCCTTTATTCACATGCAATATTATTTTTATGTTCCCTGGTTTACTACTTTGGATACCTAGATTTTATGTGTTTCATTCTATTTTAAGCTTTTTCTTTCCTGTTTATTTTTGGCATGTTATCTGCTCTGCACTCCCAATAAACCAGTGCTCACTCCTTGTGTTCATCCTGAAATCCTTTTGCCCCATGCAATAATATTTTGTGTGATTTCTTTCATCATAAAGCAGCTACTGYGTGTGGACACCTCTTTCTTGGAGAAGTATTTTAAACTTCTTTCTAAACTTCCTAAATCTTCTGAAAAAAATTATCATAAATATATATATATATTATATTTTTTATCTCCACATATGTGGAGACCTCCATGCTTATGGGTGGCTCTGGACCTGTGTACTGCTCTATATGACAATACCACAGTTGTGGTGTCAGTGTTGCAGCCTGGGACCTCTATCAAGTTCGAGTGGGGTGCAGAGTATGTTTTGTTGAGAGACACTAAGTGTAAGTACAGCAGGGGTGAGTGAGAGCCTCGCAGCCTTGGCCTCCTTTCGGGAGCGGGTTGGAAAGCTCTGACACTTCCTTTTATTGCACAATGATTTTGCACAATGTGAGCCTCAGGTTTCACCGAGTTATCGATAACTGTCTGGCATCTGGTCTGAATTGTTCTAGTTCATGTCCTTCACTATTTGATAATGTTCTTTGTAACACCTGACATATTTTATCTGAGGCTGTGTTGTATTAACTGCTTAATCTGTAGACTCTTTCTCTTTCTGAATATATCAATCTTATTATCAGACAATTCTCATAAGGCAACATACCCTAATGCAGGTCAGTGCATGACTTCTATCTAGACCATTAGGCTAGCTATCCAATTCTGAGATTGTACAGTTTTAATTGCAGTTAATGTATAGTAAAGCAGTGCTACTTTTTAGTACATACACAATAGTGTAGGTCCTTTATAAAATACCTATGCTACCATACACATAGTGAAGGTATTTTAGGAATGGTTCTGCAGGAATAGACAGCGGTGACCATTCTGTTAATCTAACTATTCATCTACTAATGTTGCTACCATTGCTACTAAATGCTTTCCTATTCAGGTGTCTGAGGTGTTAACTACATTCTCTAGTCTTGCTTTTACTGTAATTAAGCAAATCATTTGCTATCATAATGTTTGTCCTTCACTTAGTGGTAGAAACGTTATTCTGCTCTTGTTCTATGGCTTGAGGCTTGACACTCTGAGCTGTCACTGAAAAATTATTGAACCTCACACTGAAATATTTTTGAGAGGAAATATTTCCTCTCTCTTGCTGTCTGTGCTGAAGCAGCAGCTGCTGTTCTTTTCCTGTTCCTCTGTGTCTCTCTCCACCTGCTTTGGTTTTAACCATGGCAAGCATGACAGGAGCTATTTGCTCCAGTGTTGTGTGTATTTGGGTATGTTTTTCTTTTTGTTTTAATAACCAATTTCTATTAGTTATTTAAATTTTAATAACTAATTTTTAATAACATCCTTAACCAGGTTATGCGCTAAATAAGCCATTGGAGGATCTCTAAAGCTCCCAGCCATGACCATGACTCTGTTTATGTGGAGGAGGTATCAGGTGACRAGTGTGGGATGTGCTTTACTTCGGCAGTGGGATTCTCCAATTTAGAATTTAGCCTGTTGGATTTAGAATAGAACTCAGACACAAAGACTAACATTAATCAGTTCAGAACACTTAACTGTCTTGATTTTTAATTGCTAATGTACTTTGTAGGAGTTAAACTCCTACGTGGACACTCCTTTATTTATATAAAAGTTGAATAAAATACCCACATTATGAAATCTCATTGTTTTTGGCTATGTTTTTCACAGATGTAGTCTAGAACCCTTATTTTTGTGGTACATTAGATATCTCAGAGTTATCGTAACCTGAAGGTAAAGGTATGAAATAAAATGATGACCCAAGAAATTGTGGTAGCTTGATTTTGAACATGTGACAAATCATAAAAAGAATAATTCCTTTTTTTTTTTTTTTTTTTAGGTAAAGGTATGAAATAAAATGATGACCCAAGAAATTGTGGTAGCTTGATTTTGAACATGTGACAAATCATAAAAAGAATAATTCCTTTTTTTTTTTTTTATTGTATGAATTAAGTTGCAAGAACTGTTAAGTTAAACTTAAAATAACCCTTTTAAAAGTTGTTGAGGATAATGAATTAGCCAGGAGGAGTTAGAGCCTGCTGCTGCCAACTAAAGTGCTTGGGGACTTGAGATAGAAGCGAATGATAAGCAGCAGCTTTCTTGCATTCAAATAAATTACATGTTGGGCTTGGCTTAATCCTGGCATCAGAATGATCTCTGGGGGTTTTCCCTACACTATCTTAGTCTATGATTATGCAAATTTCTTTTTAATGTAGCRACTCTTTAACAGGAAATTAGTCTCATACTTGTTCATACGTTCTTGCAACCAACAGACGTTTGCTTGCAAAATCCTAAACAGTGTGTCTGAGGAACAGAGGGTCTATTAACCCGCTAAGCACCAACGTGCAGCAAACACAAATAACAGGACGTGCTTGGATATGTCAGGGATGTAGCAGATGAATTGGGAAAGGGATCAGGTATTTGTTGCTTAATGCAAAAATATTCCTGGGTTTGAAAGTTCAAGTAGAATGCAAATGGTAGTAAGTTTACATTTAGTTTCAAAGATAATATGGAAAACAAAAACAGGTGAGGGAGAAAAACATCTTGCAGCCAAGCAGGATTAAAACAGAATAAGACATGGAAATGAGACAAAGAATAAGAACAAAAGAAATGCAAGCATCAGTGTTAAATGTACAGTGTCCTGATGAGCCCAGTAGCTGGCCATGATCATTCATGCACGTAGATATACTGAAATTTTATTGCAGTGATATTGTTACCTGCAACCATACTGAAATGGGGACTGTGAGGGTGACCTGCTTGGTTGGAGCTGCCTTCTAGTAACCTGCTCTGTTGCTCCTGGAGACTTGGAGCTTAGGGTTGGGCATCAGGCGTTTGTCTGGAAGGACAGTCTGTAGAAGAGGGTATCCCTTGAGAGGGGCAGAATTAATGTTGCAAAGGCTATGATATTTTAGTAACGCTAGTTTTAATGTGCAACTTTGAGTCAGCAGGAAAGCTCGCTTTTTGATTTCTTGCTTTAGTAATGGGGCACTAGGTAATGTTGTGTGGCAATCTTTTTCTTAAAAACTACAGCTTGCTTGTTTAAGAGCTCTTTTTTCAAGAGGGGGGGAAAAAAAAAAGGCAGGCAGTTGATGTCTACCTTCTGTCTGGAAGGCGCTAGCGATGGGCTAGAGATCGCCACACTAGCCCCCTTCCCAGTTTCTCCCCCTCTGGATTGAAACGCTCATGTTAAATGGTGGGAGTTCCAGGGGAGCTTAATGAAACCCCAGCATCTGACTCTCCAGGGGGATATAGGTAGTACCTGATTCATTCGGGCTCTTTTGAAACTCCCATCAAAGTGAACTGTTCAAGGCATGACCTCAAGGTAACACTTGAATCAGCCGCAGAATCTAGACTTCCAGCTCTTTACTTTAARTATAAGACCTATTCTTTCTTCTATATCCAGTGTATTCTGTTTGTAATTACCAGAAATTACCATTAGAGAAATCAGAGCTAATCTGAGGCTCATCTATGAGAGAGAATTTATGCCCAACTATTTAAATAAGTTCTTGTTGAGCTAGTTTCTGGAGATTAAACTCTGTAATTTTATCTGTCACAGATGAGAGAAACTTGCTAGCACAATAGCACAATGTCTTAAAAAAAAAAAAAAAGTACTTAACTACAGAGAGAGAGTGGGTGTTTGCAAATGCTATTCAGGCAATATGAATTTCTATGATTGTGCATTAAATCACATCTAGTTGAACATGTTTACTCCATTTTTGGTATCGCACTTCAGCCAGCTGCTACCTTTTCAGTGCTTTAGCACAATCCAGCAAATGTCGGAAAAGTTTGAAGACAAATCGAAAAATTTAAAAGTTTGCTATCTTGATTTTTGTTGTTGCTTAAAATAAGTTAAAATCCATTTAACTTATTTGCTGGAAATTACTTTTATTGGGAAATATTGGAATTGTGTGTTGGACAAGCCACTTGAAATGGGAATTATGTGACTTTTGCATAACACTACCTGCTGATACTAAACTTAAGACAAGCAGCTGTGATGCAGATAAAAATATCYTGCTCTGGCTACAGTCGACATCAGAAAGTGATCTAGTTTTCCATGCGGTAGAAACTYAGTAGCTTTAGTTCATTTAGAAAACTTTAACATTTTTGTTCTACATAACAGGGCTGAATTGCAAAAGCCTTCTGAACATTTTGGGAAGCAGCAACCACGTCACAAGCTTATGAAGGTAACAAGGTTGTGAATTCCCTGATTCCTTTTTTTGAGGGTCCCTGTAGGCAGGCATGAGGACAGTATATTTAGTTCATTTCCATACCCCTAAATGGGCATTCGTAGTATCTGAAAGTCGCATACAAAGTAATTTAATAATTATCATACAAAATTTGAATTTTATACTGATTTTGGAAAGAACAGAGTTACAGATTGTATCTGGGGAAGGAAACGAGTATTTATAATTAACATACAACCCTAGWGAAATATATTTGGCAAAAAATACTTTTCCTTGAATTTTATTTTGTAGTCTTTCAAAATGCACATTGACCAAAGCATCAAAAAGCTGAAAAACATTTTTTTAAATTACAAAGCATGACTATCACAGAAAGATATAATTGTGTCCTATCCTGACAGCATCATCAGAATACCGCAGGAATTCACTTTTTACAGAGATATAGCAGTTTAAACAAAGTATCAGAGGTCGCAATCAATAGGGAAAAATAGATTACACCACTAAGTGGATTGTCAGAATAGGTAATTTAGGTGTTTTGTTTGTTTGTGTTAAGCAGGACTCCTAGGGRAAAAAAATTAAGGAAAACACAGTGTTTAAATGTTTGAGCTCACTTGGATGTGATTTGTGCCTGACTCGAGCAGCACAGTATGCAGCACTCCTCAATGCACAATCCGATCTAAAAGGTACCATTTTTTAAAGCAAGTTTCTGCTGCCATCCATATGTCATCACAGGACACAGAGACACTGCAAAATATTTATCACTGAAAAATAAATGCTTAATTATGCAGAACATTAACTAAAAATACAGCCAACCACCTCAAGGATGTTAACAATAACTATCGCTTCATGAGAATTAAGCCCCCCTTGCAGGCACGTCTCACTTTCACTGGGGAAAAGTAAATATGCTTAAGGGTTATAGCTCTTAATGTAACCTGCCAGCTTGTCAGCACAGCACTGAATATTACTTTTCTCTATGAATTTTAAAAAAGATGTATATTGAGTATTTGAGAAGGGACAACTGCAGGTGGACTCTGAGCTTAAAAAAAAAAYAGAGCATGTCAGATAAATAATGAAGCAGTAACGAGCCTGTTGGGACACACTTTTCCTTCAGTTTTTGATTGACTATATTTCCAGCAAAGGTCAGAAGATAAAATGAATAGCAGGAAAAAAAAAAACTGGTGTGTGTGTTGGGGGGGAGGGGGACAGGCAAAATAYATTAAAAGTTATTTCTGCCTACCTAAATTGTGCAAGGAAATCCAGAAAAGATCAAAAAGCAGTTAATTCTTTAGCGTGTGAATGTAACACAACAGCAGGCACTTAGTTTACACCATGATGCTTCACAGTAGGTGACTTTTTCCAAAGTCTAGAGCCAGACTGTTACATGGGCACACAAATATCACCAAGCCAAAACAATGTGTTTATTGTGCGAGTTCAGCACACAACACAATTACCAGCGTGCCAAAATATATGTTGTATTATATCCAGGAGTCTGGCACCTGTAACTAAAGCAAGTCAATGCTATTAATGGGAGAGAAATATAAGTTTTTTTCTGGCTTGTTTTAGCAAACCATGTAGAGGATGCATTCCCACAAACAGCTGGGTAAGTTAAATAGTTATTGTGGTCAAAAGGGGAAGGGGCTCCCTGTTCCTTCATCCTGTTTTAGCCATCGCCACTTTCATTCCATCTGTGGTACTCTTTGCACCCATCTCTGAGCTGATCCAACTTATCAGTGGCTGACCAGGAAATAATATAATTTTGTTTGCTCACCCTTCAAGCAGTTTTCTCTTAGGCTAATGAATTAATTCACCTCCTGGAAGCTGAAACAAGTGCCAGAGAGGATGCAAAGGAAGTGGTGAGAATGCGTGGCCGCCAGCAGCAAACAGGATGGAAGGCAAGAGCTCTCTCCCTGTGGCAGCACGTGTTGGCCGATGGGCTCTCCCGTCATCCCCAATGCTCAGTCATAAAGAGCTGGGGCTCCGACGGCTTCTGCTGGGCGCCGCTCCACGAGGTTGGCAAAGAAGATACGTAAGTAAAATACATAAATGCGTGAGGTTGTTTTAATTGGCTTCCTATTGGAATCATAATGCTGGATTAAATCTGTTTTAGGCTGGGTAATTGTAGGACACTTTAAAGTAGGATGTTTTAAAATCATAACAGTCTTAAATTTTTTTTTGAAAGGAAAAGGATTTACAAAGGTAAGAAAACAGGCAAGACCCAGAGCATTCTTCTCAGTTAAAATTCCCAAATGCAAGCTATAAAATCACATCTCCTACTACCTGTAATGACAGTTAAAGAGGATTAAAAATACATATATTTAATTTCACAAAATCTTATTAACATAGTATAAGTGAATCASAGTTCAATCTATGCTTTATACTAAACTTAACGGGAGGGTGGTCTAAAAGTTAAAAGGCTATTTCCTTCTCTTAGAAATCCAGATCCAGAGCAAATTAAATGATCTAGCAGAGGATTAGGATCAAAAAGTATGATTTTTTTTTTTAAATATGCAAACAAAATGTCACAGGAATTCTCCACAGCTTTCTTCAAAGACAGTTTTTTGCATCTGAATTTTCATTTCTCCCACTGCAGTCTTTGACAGTATTCATAAACAGAAACGACTGCTCAGGATTTTCTTCATTTCAACTCTCCTTTTGCTCTTTGATCGTCAAGACCGATGGGTTGCGTTTGCCAAAGCAGCGAGTCTAACAGCACCCCCTCCTGGTTCCAGGGGTGTGACATGGAACCTGGAGCTCCAGTAATGACGCAGGAAGAAAATTCTGTGGGAGAAAAAAATAGCAGAACATATACTGAAACAAGAATATCTATTTGTATAAGAAAAAAAGTAAAGGGAGGTTAACGCTATCTTGCTAGTCCAACCTTTTCAATTGCAGGGGCTGCAGATCAGTTTCGGCCCCTGTCTCATGGGCTGCACAGTGGCTTTGTGCAGGTGAGGTAGGCAGTGTCTTCATCCCTGAAAGCAGTGGCAGCCCTCCAAATATCTGGTCATGCAGAAACTCCTTTGCCAGCAAGCCTCCTGCCCCACTGCTTCCTCCTCCTGAGCCAGGGCTCCGAGCGCTGCTGTTCCCTGCTTGTGCTGCCTAAGCAACCTGGTTTCATCTCTTCTGATGCAAACGTGGTGGGTGGACAGAATTATCTGATGGGCCAACTTGGTGCAATGAGTTAGCCCATCCTCGTTAATTAGACCTTGAGTTTAGTCTAGCAACTTCTTTATGTCAGCACTGCTATCTTCAAGCTCTCAGATTTTCAGGAAGAGGCGCCCCAAACTGAAGCATCACACCCCTACTGTGTTCTGCCATACTGAGCAAAACAAAGCTTACGGGAGAGCTTTCAGAGATCCTTCTCCATCTGTTCTATAATGTACTGCCTGATCATGTTATATATTTGCTTTTAAAAATATTGCTTCTGGGAAGTTTATAAAACGATCACTGCTGCATAAGAAAACAAATTCATGGTAGCATTGCCGTACAAGGTAAACGCATGACGCTAATCACCGAAACTTATAAGCTGCAACCAGTCATTTCTGCTGAAGGGAAATAGTAATCAAACAAAGAAAAATCTTCAGTAGTGAGAGAAACTGAAACTGATGCCTGATCTAGCTAAAGATTGAAAGCATCTACAGAATGAAAGTTCAGGTATCTTTGTATACATTAGCTTTCTAGGTTGGAGTCTCTTTCCTTCACTGATTCTTTTCTTGTAATGTTTAGGATTCTTTAATTTTAAAAGATGCAAATGAAGTGCATTCTGTGCATTACATGATTGTTAACACATATGCAGGGCATAATTAACTGTAAATACATATCCTTTGTGGCACTGCAAGGTAAGGGAGCGTTACTTTAGGCCCAGGTACAACTACAGTGTTAATAGAGCTACGGCTGGGGAATGAGGGGAGATGTGCAGAACTAAAGTGTCTGATCTGTTACTTGCCTGCGAATACACAGCCTGCAGTTTCTCTCTCCAAACTGAACCCTTTTAATTTCTACAAATAAATTCACACCTGAATGTTGTTGCCATTTACAGGATCCCATTTTCTCCTGATGGATGTTTTGAAGGATCTAGCCCATGCTGCTTCATCTGCACGGCGATGTCAAACAGGTAATCGTAACACTCGCACCTTAAAATTAATAGGAGAAAAAGGAGACATGTAAAGCTGGGCGTAAGCAGTACCACGTTCTATGAAAAGGATTTTTTTTTTTTCCTCTTGAGCTCTGTATCACCAAAGTTACGGTCTGACAGGATAGCTCTATTTTTGTTCTTTTCTACCACTCTGGTATGGGAAAGTCAGTAAGGACATTCTGATATGGGAAAGTCAGCAAGGACATTCTGGTACCCAGCATTTTTGTTGCAAGCTCCTGACTTTCTCCATTTCCATCAGCAATTGAACTATATTCCCAAAGCAAAAGTGACTAGGGTAGAGTACCAGGAGTCGGAAGGTATTATATAAAAGCAGAGAATGCCTGCAGGTTTCATCTGGGAAGGGACACACAGGTTTCAACTCATTAAAATTTTGAAGATATAGTGACAAAGGACATAATTTTCCTAAATTATACTCACATTGTTTTGGCTTTTTCCCATGTTTCTCCCCATACGTAAACTCCATGACGTCTCACCAAAACAGCGCAAGAGTCTGGGTATTGTTCCATCGCACGTGCCATTCTTTCCTTGAGATCCTTCTCTTCTGGTGTATTCTCAATAATGGGAACAATCAGTGTATCATCATATCTAAATAGAAAAAGAGGTGTTGTGCACTTCAGGAGTGATATGTTTGAAAGTGCTTCCCCTGAGAAGGGGAATTCTTTGGTTGCTTACAGTTGTTAACAGATTCTCAGCACTAGTGACTTTAAGCTCTTCTGTTGTGAGTCACACAGTACGCCTGCAACACCTGAACTATTCTCAAGGCATAAAAAGAAAATAAAACTTTAATGTAATAGGTTTGGCTATTTGTTCTCACATATCACCACTTTGTATTCCCTTTGTAATTTTTTTCTGAATTTCTTCATCCTGTATTGGCATCCTACAAGCTTGATCTCAGATTAAATTATTTAAAAGAATCACATCACGAACAAGGAAATGGAACTACTTGCTGGAGAGCAGAAAAAAAAATAGGTAGTCCAAAAAGCCCCTGGAAATAAGATTGTCCTGCTAAGGCATATAAATAGAGTGAAGTGTCAACACTTGAAAAATAAAAATTCTCTTCTGTCCTAGAGTGATTGGTGGGCTATATGTGATCTTAAGAGAGCTTGAGAACCCCTGTTCCAAAGACAAGATGATGCATGTTATTCAGTGGAACTTGCCTAATAGTTTCTTGTGAAGGAGGACTGGGATATTTGGCATTGTCTGAACCTTAATTAACACTGGCAGAAACTTGTTTAAATAGTTTTAATAAATCCCCAGTTCAAGTCAAAGTTTATCATCAAGATCACATAGATATTTCATAGGTAGATGCTAATAGAACTTAAAAAAAAAAAAAAAAAAGACAGGAAACAATGCTAAAAATAATACAGCTTATACTTTGTGATAAATATTCAGAAAAATTAAAATCTGATCCCTTACATTTTTAAATAATGATGCTTTCCAAAGAAAATCTATAAAAAGAGTGAATAAAGAAAATGAAATGTTTGTAGGAATTTTGGAATTACTTAGAATCTCATATGATGTGGTCTTTAAAATCAGAATTTTAGTGTTTGTTACTTATGAGGCCAAAATAGGTAAGGGATTGGTTTAGTAAATTTTGGGTTGTGTTTGGGCATGAGCTCGGAAGATGTTGCTTCCTCACGTTGCTCTACATCTTGTTTTACACCATGAATTGATTCTTAATCATAACCATAGATTTTTAAAAACTAATATCCACAGAAGCCACAGAAGATTGGTTAAAGAGGAATTAAGTATTTTACTGAAACTAAAGGACTATGTTATGTCAAGCTTCCCTATTAAATATCTTGGAAGGGTTTAAGGGAAAGATTCAAAGTGTTTTTTTTTTTTTTTTCTTTTTTTCTTTTTTTCTCCTATGGATCTAATGCTTCTTCTGAAGTTGAAGGTAACAATATTATGGCTTCATTGGAATCATATTTAGGCCATGGAATAAATCTGATTAGCCTATCCGTAACATTTTCCTGGATACCTTCCAGAAAGGGTTTATCCAATTAGAAGCAATGTRCTCTTAATACCTTTTTGAAAGCTCCTATTCCTTTGAATTCCAGTTTTATAGGAGACCAGACAGTGGAGTGTGACTCAAATATGACATAGCAGCAACCAAGTTTACTAGAAACCTTGATTCCTTTAGTTTTTCTTGTGAATTAAAAAGGTGACGGAGGAGAACGTATTGATACAGAAAATTTCTTGACTAACATTTAGGAACTTTTGAGAATTCAGAATGCAAATCCATAAGAGGAAATAGGTTCTGATTTTTAAAAACAGTGTTGTTTGGACAATTCAGCATTTGGTAGGACATTTTGCCACATTAAAAACACAAATGTTAATGCTGAGAAGAAGGTAAAGCTGGTCAACAAAACTCTAAAGATGGTGCAGAATAAAATCTCAAACCAAAATATTTTGCTCCTTTGCCAAAAGACAATTGTTAGTTACAAATAGTAACATCAAAAAGTGGAAAGAATTTAGCATTTCAATTTTTCATCTAATTGTCACATATTATATAAACATTGTTTGCTGGTTTCTGTTCAACACTGTGGGTGGAGTCCTCAAAACAAGCCATCACAGATAATTTGGAGCAACTCAGCACTTACCTCAGAGTTCATCCTTGAAAAGTACTAACATAGTCTTTAATGAGCTGTTTACTCTGAATTTTCTTTCAAAGTCTGTCAAGTAAAAATCTGAAATCCTCCAATCTCTTAACTTGCCTTAAACTTGCACAGGCAAAGGTTTGTGAAGTCCAACCAAATGCAGTTTGCTCTTTATCAATCCAACCTAACATTGGTTGGCTACAGTTTCAACTGAACCTTGCATAGATGTGCTAGTGACTCTGTTTTTGAGATTTCTGTCAGGGCATGGCTATTTATTTTGGCTCTTTCTGTAGCTCGACAGACCACAGTAACTTTGACATTACAAGATTTCTCTCTCTCTTATAGGAATGAGACCTTCTCAGGGGAAGCCAGTGACTGATTTATTACTGATGTCATGTTATTTCTTATTTCCAATACTTTACATACTTTAATGCACATAACTTAAAATACTTGTCATCTGTTATTTTAATTGACACAAGTGATCAAACAGCATGCCTTCTAATCTTAAATATAAATATATATATGTATGTATGGAAATACCGGTAATATCCTCCCGAAGTGCACTTCTGAATTCCTTTTATCATCTCCTGATGGGTAATAGTGAATTCACTCCCTGGGTAAAGAAGTGTAGCCATAACAGCAGCCTTGGAATGAGTATGGATCACTGCACCTGCTCCTAAGAAAAGAAAAAGGCAAAATGAATGATTTTGTAATTGTTTTTTAAAAATATCTATTAAGAATATTTTATTCATATATCTATTTCCTATGGCTAGGCACCTAAGCAAATGTCACTTACTCTTTTTGAGAGAGAAAATACCCAGCAATCTAAAGAAAGTTAGGAATAGTCACTCATCTATGAAGGATAATTATGAATCATTCTAGGATACCACTATCAACTATCAGTACCAATTTRAGGAGAAACACTATCTATTTTCACATTTCATTACATATTGTAGTGTCTGAAACACTCTAATTTTATCAGTGTGCTGAGATTCTAAAGAATTACAAAGTTTATTTGTGATGAAAAAATTCAGAGGCTTTTAACGTCTTGTTATGCARGTATACTTCCTGAATTACCAATTAATTATCTAAAAAATTGTTATTTTATTTAATGTTACTTATGGAAAGAAGCATACACCATAATTGCAATTTATTACTAAAGCTGCGGTGTTGCTTTCTATTGCTGTTCATCTGCAGAGACTCCAATTCCRTTCAAGGTTGGAAAAGTGCAGAACATAAGGACAATATTGCTACCTAAGAGCAACAAAGAATTGCAACAAATGAGTTTTCTSCAACACCCCTGATGCCTCCAAAGGAAATGCCTCCAAACGGGAAACCGGCAACTTAATTCTGAGCAAAAGGCAAGTTTCATACTTTTCATACTTAGTAGACTTTCAGAACCTTTGRCCAGAGAAACAGGGTTTAAAATGATCTAATAATAAGTAAAATTGCTGATATAAAACTGTGGTAATTCTCTTCCCAGGCCCCTGAACTACGAATACACCACACAAAAAATGGGTGCTGTAACTACGACCAGAGATACAACCTTACAGGATGTAACCAGGCACTATTTACCATTCTATGCAGTCTTGTACAAATTAGTTCAGCTTCATGATTCAATGATAATTTCCACGGACAAAGAAACCTGATACTGAATTTTTACTCTGTGAATAAATACATAGTGATTTAGTCATCTTTGAATTAAAATACCAATTACACACCTCTCATAGTGTAGGCATTCATAAAAAGTGGTGTACACTGGCTTTTCTTTAGTTTCTTGTGTGCTGGGGGTCCACTGATGTCCTGCTCTTTTATGTCACAAACAAACATATCTTCTGGCTGTCAGAGAAAAGAAATTATTTTCATCTGTGATGACCCAGATAGTTTTGTTTTTCTTCTTGAGATTATCCACACATACATGTGTTTATATACATAAACAATCCCCATATATTCAATACAGAATGCAATTTAAAAATTGATGAAATATACTGCATTTATTCTAGCTTCTAGTGCTAATTACTACCACTGTGTAATGTGCATGTTACATATCCTTTTTATTCAGAKTGTTGTCAAGTAAATGTTGACAAATGTAAAACATAATAGGAAGGGAGAGTTTATAGCTAAGTAACATGCAATCCATCTAGCAGAAAAAGGTACTACCTTATTAAGAGAAAGAAATGTAGATGTACTCTTTCTTTCCTTCTTAAAGAACCAACAATGACTACATATTAAACCTAGATATTTTTAATTGTAAAACTTTTTTCCTTAATTTTGCCTTTAGTATTTTTTCACAAATGTTCTCTTCGCATCAATCCAGTATTTGTAATAGTACAGAATACAGAGAATTGTCCAGGGTGGAGAAAAGCTTTCTTCTATGAAATTACTTACAAAATCAGCAGGAAATAGAGTTGCAAGAGATCTCCTTGCTCACTGCACTCAATCCACTGCTGCTGCCMGCAAAGAAAAGAATATCACATCTTGCCATATTACACCTCTGCTTGTCTAGCTTGCTAACGCTCCTATGAAGCGTTATGCAAAACCTCAAGTTTCTGTGAGCAAAGAGATCCATTTCATTTTTCATTGTATCAACCCTGAGATGTGAAACAAAAAATCCTTTCTAYGAATAATCGTAGTGGGGGAGTTCCTGCTGTCATAAAAGTTATCATTTCCTAATCTTCTCTCTACTTATATTTTGGTTCTTTGCTCTTATGTGAAAAAAAAYGGAGATAGACAAGATGGCTTTGTCATGGGGAGAACTTGTCTCTTTACTGAGAAGATTGAGACAAAGAAAGATTTGTAATTGCTTGACTGAAAATAAATAGGAGAGAGGTGTGATGCTTAATTTGATATGTGTTACAGTACGTTGAAACTGGATCCAGCCAGCAAAAAAGCTTGACAAAAAAAATAACTGTCTGGCAACTTTCAAATCTCAGTCTTCTGTGTTCATTTTTAGCAAAATGATCATCAAGGCTAATCTACACACGCTGCTGAACCGAACAGTGGCTTGCTATGCTGGGAGAGCACTTCACCAGTGGGTAAATCCATAACTGTTTCAAGAAGGCAGCTAATGCAACAAACTTCAAACTTCATCTAAGGAAAAATGAACTCTAAATAAAGGTAACTTCATCTATTTCAAGATGAACTCTGACGGGAAAATAGAGCTCAACATACCTGTATTCTTTCCTTCTGGACTCCTGAGGGAGCAATATAGATTTCATTCCTAAGAAAAATTACAGGCAGGAAWAAATATAAAAACAGCATTTAACTGCACAGGTATCAGAATGCTAGAATCTCTGAAAAGAAAATAGCAACTACAATTCATGATAACTTAATTTTCTTGTTCCTTCTACATATCTTCATGAGATGGTTTCTAAAATATAACCAGATCATGAGCATGTATCAAATCTCTGTAACTTATGCGGGTTCAAAATAGTGTTTTCAACTTGCCAAGAGATGTAAAACATGCATAGGAAGCACAGTCTTATCTTTTCTGTAAAGAAAAACACAGACAAAAAAAGTTTCCTGTGCAGATATTACAGACCCATACCTTTAGAATTCAGAATAAAAATAATGAAAAATAAAAGAAAAATGCAAGCAGATGCTGATCGATCCCTCCCGCAAAAAAGTGACAAAACTCTTATTTAAAGAAATCTGCACAAACTATCCATAAGCAATATCAACAGTTTATGGTATTCTAAAATGACAATACTTGTGTTTTTGCTGAAACAATGCAACATATCTTCTTTTTAAGTGCATGTATATATTTGCATGGATAAAAATTTTATACTAATTCAATGCAATTAAGTGGCTGAAATTTAAGTAGCAGTGCAATACTTCTTCCAAGGTTCACAAAAAAAAAAAAAAAAGAATATAAAAGGATTTAGATTAAAACAGTTTTAAGATGGCATGTAAAATATTTTGGATAACAGCAAAAAAAATCAGATCATTTTCCCTTGTATCTATAATCAGTGTTCAGTTGCAAAAGCAATGAATTAAYTTCAGAAGCACAGAGACATCTAGTGAACAGCCACCCAAGTTACAGATGCATTTTCTGAGAAGAACGAGATGTTTATACTTCTGGGGAAGACRGCACCTTTCAAAAATTATAACTGTTAAGGTGATACACTTTTCAAATCGGTAAACAGGTTGTAAAGGACATAAAAATGTGGCTTTAATGTTTGTAACTTTTAATACATGAATTATCRCGAATTAACATTATTGACATTTCATTCATTTAATTTTCCTACCCCTGCATGAGCAAGATGATTGGGAGCAGCATATTGAGAAACCAAGTTGCAATTTGGTTATTGATATTCTATGAATATTTTTTTAGAAATTAAATGTGCAAATCTGATTATGAAATACAGCTTGAAATACAGAACACCTGACAAAGAATTATGGTTTGTTTTTTAATATCCTATCCTGTACCCAAATTGGTGTATTTATTCTAAATAGTTCATACGAACTGTGGAATGAGTAATGCTGATTACAGTGGAGGGCAAATACCTGCTAGAATTTCGAGCAATTTTCAATTGTGCTTTACTTATCTCCTACACAAAAACTCTTAAGTTTCCACTCGTTCAATTACAGCTATTTGTTTTGAAACACACCTACTGCTACTGTGGACGTAAAAAACGGCATGTAAGATACATCATGTATCTTACAGCATGTAAGATACATCAGTACCAACTCAGGTATGTATTTCAGTATACTCTAAACAACTGAGAGAGCTGTGTGGGAAAACTGTACCAATATGTTAATGTACTCCCTATTGATATTTCTTTTGCCATTGCTTACATTTAGCCATTGATCAAAAAATAGCACTAGACAGGTATTCCATAGGCAAGGAACTTTACAAACAAGAACTTGCCCTGGTAATGTTCTTCTAATTATTACTGCTCTTGCTTTGTTTGCAAAAATAGCCAGAGAAGGGAAATGACCTGCTAAAGTTCTCAGCAAAGCATAATAGTTCCTGTTTCAAGCCTGTATTTCATAACAGACACTTGAACGGCAATACTTGTTTGTGTCTGCATGCAAGTTTGTCAGAAACATGAGCTATTAAGTAGTGTCAAGTTAGTGTTTCAACTGTCATCATTTGACTGCGGACAGAATTGCATGCACTGTACAAATTATCCGTGGCACTCGGTGGCCACTAAGAGGAGCTCTATATTCATTAAAAACTTGGAAATTGTGAATGGGGACATGACCGATTGAAGAGCTTTTAGTAGTAGGTGCACACCAAACACTGTTTGGCTGTTGCCCGCCCTGCTTCAGCTATATGCCATGAGCATATAGCTGTGTGTCTAGGGACACAAAAAAAAGGAAAAATCATTCTCTGAAGCTGTCTCTTTCTCCACTGAAGAAACCCCAATGGTTATATCAGATTAGCCACCTTCTCTTCCCTGTGGTTAAGGTACTGCTCACCTCTCCCTCAAAAGTAAGTCATCCCACACGTACTTTTACTTTTCAAATATTCTTCATGGAACTAAAATGCCTTTACCAACTATTCAACACAGCTATGTTTTCTATATAACCATCATATTTAAATTCTTAYGTCTTTACTTACCCATGTTTCAAGCTGATTCCTCCACCTGTTCCTGTTACCCAGCCTAAGCCATAAAACAGTCTACAAAGTTCTGGGATAAGGTTTCTTGGATGCAACTTTTCCTAAAGAAAATATATAAAAAAACAATCACCACAACCATCACAAAATTTAAGATTTCAATTCTGGAATTGAGCTTGAGGTGTAATACCTTTATATTGCAAGATGATAATCTAATTTATACTTTTGAACTTTATTTGCAAAATGACTGTGTGTGCAGAATGCCCTTTAGGATTTGTAGAGGGCACTTGCACCTTGAAATAAACAGTCCCCTCAACTGTGTCTATCGTGATTAGAGAGGAAAAAAAAAATACATATATATATATATATATATATAAATTAACCTACCTTGAAAAGTTCAGCCAACACTGTTCTTAAAACAGTTTTCTGATTTTTTGCAGGATTTGAAATTTTATAGTGAAAATCAAAGTTGCAATAAGAATTTATGCATAACTACTACAACTCTCATGGAAACATATTTTATCTTGTACATAACATTTTTATTTAGAAGTCATAAATACTGTGGAAATGACTGGCAAATTACTTGATGAACTTCACCTTTTCACATTTTATGTTTTACAATGAAAAGTCACCTCTGAGGCATGGTTTAGCCAGTGCACTTTGCCTTCTAGTTCAGTATCTTTTCCAAAGGATAAAAATACTTAATTCCTTGCATTCTGTTCTTTATGTTTATATGCATACATGTATAAAGAGTGCATGTGACTGTGTATATTTTTATTTAATGAAAGTTATTTGTGGTGCCAGATATTTTTTAAAATTCAAATTTTAAAGCATTGCTCCGCATATGTATAAGTGGAAGTAGTATATAACAGAAAGCAGCCTTTAATAAGAAATTACATTAGAAATTCAAAAATTTTGAACCATTTACATGAAACACAACACAGACACATACAGAGACAAATGCAAGGTAATGGTTTAATTCAAAATCTATCCTAGAATTTACACATTTGCACGTTGTCTTGAGTATTTCTTTTAGACAATTAAGACAATTTACTTTAGACAATAAAAAACAAGCCAAGGTCCTTGCTTTTTCCCAGTTTGAAAATAAAGATGAGGTGTGTTTTTACAAAGAAATAAATAAAAAATAGTATTTGCATTTTTATATACTTATAAAATATTATTTTTATTTATATGCATTCCTTTGTCTGGCATGAGGATTCTACCTACAGTTAGTTTTGTTTCATGTATGTGACAGAAAGCAGCAATTATGCAGAATGCAGTGCTGCCTTATTACTGTTTTCATGAAAAAAAARTTGTTTAATTTCTTCTGAGAAAAAGTAGTTTGGAAAAGAAATCCCTATGACAACAGATACTGTCTCCTGCTACTGCAAGCAACTCTCAAATAATTCTTTTTAGGTATGTGCTAAGCTTGATCAATACTTCCACGTTCAGTTTATAGTGACATTGCTTCTGAAGCTCTGATCTCTGAAAACGCAGCATTAGCTTCAGATGTTGTTTTTAACTGCTACTATAAATGCTTTTCTGTGCTTTCAGGTCTCTTTTAGTAGTACAGAATAATCACCTGTTGATTTATTTCAAATGTCAGAAACAACTCTAACCAGCACTCTCAGAGATGTATGCAAGAAGGTGGATTTTTAAAGCACCATAAACACGTACCAATTCACATTATTTCAAACATAAGACACTATACACAATAGTACACAAAAAACAAATACACAAAAAACCAAACAGGCCAAACTGAGTTCTAAGTTTAGAATGAAAAAATTATGAAGGTAGGACCCAAACACACACACATCAAGTCCTCTGCTGCTGAGAAGTGCAATCTACGTGAAATGCASCAGTGCTTGTAGCTCCTTGTTACAAATACAAATGCACAGTGGGTAAATTACATTTACCATTTTGTTGTTCAAATTTACACAGAATTAAAGGTTGTGTGTGATTTTTATCAGCTTGCTATAAAAGTTAGGGTCCGACAGTATCCTGTTTTGTCTTTCACTCAAAATAACATCACTGCTTGCTTTTAAACTACATGCTATAGTGGCATTTTACATGTCAGAGAAAATGATCCCCCTTCTACTTTTGATGGAAAAAACTCTTACATTGCTATTATATCTTGAATATATGGAGACATGGAAAGCTAGATTATAACATTCTCCTGTTGTTGCAGATTTTCCTTTCCTGGTGAATACAGACATAACTTCTGGGAGAATATATTTAATTTTCATCACKTTAAAATCATGTAAAAGTTTTTCCCAGTTCAAACTCAGAAGCTTTCATGTAAAGCATACATACAAGGGAATTCCAACTATTCTTCTGAAGAATTCTAGGATAATAAATCAATCCTGAGCTTAACAGGACTCTTCACGATCAGAAGATAGCGCTCATAACCACAAGCTATTTAGCGTGTTTTCAAATAACTGATAATATAGATGACAGCACCTTCCGTAACTAAAAGGCTGCATCTGCTGAGCATGAATAAAAGCAGTTGGAAAATCTACAGGTTTTTTTTTTTTTTTTTTTTTTTTTGCCAAATCTCAATCAGTGCTTATTTTTTCTAATTGGTTTCAAGTTAACGTACAGATGCCGCTGGTTTCCTCTTTCTTCACGACTCTGGCCCGCGAGTTTTCTGGTACGGGCAGCATGAACAATTCAGCCTTGTTTTCTGTTCTTAACCTAATTTTCCACATTAGGTGTGAATGAAAACTTCTTTTGAAAAACACGTCGGCTGACGATTTTCCCAAGTGTAACTGACAGAAAACATTCATTTAAAATATATATTTTTGGTAGTCAATTTTTTTTTTTTAAGATGATCGTTTAAAGAAAAACATTTCCCCCTTTTTTATCCAAGCAAATATACATAACACTATAAAACGCAAACGAAGGGCACCCGCGTGCTATAAAACTAACTTGCTGGAAGCTGAGGTTGCCCCTGGCTGCCAGGGAACGAGCCGAAGGGCGGGACTGGGGGAGAGGASGGGAGAGTTTGCAGCGGGACGCGGCAGCTAAACACGCAGCTCTGCCGCTAAACAAACGCTCCCACCCGCGACACCAGCGGGGACCTCCCCCCGCCCCGGGAACGCGGGACGAGGCCGGGGCGCGCCGTTGGGAAACGCTCCAGCGGCCGGGACGGGCGCTCGCCCCACGCGCCCTCCGCCCGCGGCGCAGCTGCCCACGCGCCCTCCCTCCCTCCGT